ACATGGGTAGAGAAATCGCCAAATCTAGGTGAAAATGTAGAAAGAGGGTGAGTTTTAGAGAGAGAGACTCTAGATCTAGGGTTTTAAGAGGAAAAGATATGAAAAAGTGATGTAGAAGGGTGTTGCTGCAAACTGATATACGCACAGTCCGCTCAAGCGCAAGAAGTGACGCTCGAGTGCAGAATACACACTCCAAGTAATTTTGTAGACAATAGACTAACACTCGATCGCAAGAAAGGCCGCTCGAGTTTAGACCGCTTGAGTGCAGAAAACATCGCTCAAGAGTAGAATACACTTTCCTAGTAGTTTTGCAGACCTGCAAAAGCACTGAGAGATTACAAAGCCCGCTCGAGCGTAAGAAGTGCTGCTCGAGCAGAGGAGTAAAATTTTGGGCAACGAAAATTTGAAAACCAAGCAACCAATCTGTTCCAAACGTAACCATTACAATCTAATAGCCAAACTCAAGGAAGTATAAGGGGAAAAAAACATGAAAAACACTACAACACCACGAAACCTGAGTCCAAGATACAAAAGGGTCGGGTTAAAACGAGAATCGCTATATATGTGGACGCAGTTTGAGTATAAAGTGCATTTCCATCCAATATTGTACCAATTTGCTTTCAAGAGTCACCACTTAATTTTTATAGGAAATTAAGAAACATTTAACAATAAAAACTAAGTAAATGACTAGTCCATCACAACCAAACAAATTCCTTTACTAAACCTAAAATTAGATGATTGAATAAATAAAAAAAACATCACATAACTTGGATTTATGAATATAACCATATCAAGCCAAAAATTTCCACAAAACAATGATTTTCTTACACAAAATGATGGCTTAGACATCATACGATCATAAACTTGACCTAACTCAAGCAATATCACGAAAAGCACTCAAAACATTCAATTTTGACTTGCCTTACTTAAATAACAAAGCAAACACAAGCAATATGCTATGAAAAGATGAGAAACTTACCCGAATTCCACAACCAAGCGTCCAACATGCACATATGAATTAAATAGTACACATGAACCTAATCATACAACTAAACACACAAGATACAAACCTAAGCCTGGTTTAAAACTACTAACATGATTTCATACAAACAAAGCAACTAACACATACAAAACTTAAATGTGTTGGACAGACAACGATTAAAGTGGGTTTAATGCACGATTATTACATAATTAAACTAACCTAAACATGCTATTTATACAAACTAAACAAAGCATGTAAAAACAAAGTGAAAACATGAAAGTTGGCAAACTTACATGATGCTTTATGCTATGCTAACAACCTAATCACGATAACATACTGAAAATACAATTAAAAGCTATTGAAATCAAAGAATAAAAAGCACTTACTTGCTGGTTTGATTACTACACCGAAGTAAGCAAAAAAGAGCCTTGAAAATTTTACTTAAAAGTTTCCCTCAAGCTTTGGTTCTAATTTGATTTACTTTTCTTAAACCATAGATATGCTCTTAGTTGCTAAAGTTGTTGTAGGGTTGTGTAGTTTCGAAGTTAGGGTTGGGTGGTGGAGTTTTGCTCTCTATCTCTCTCTAAATTTGCTTTAAGTGTTGGTTTTGTAGGGTTGTGTAGTTTCGAAGTTAGGGTTAGGACTGCAAACGAGCCGAGCTGAGTATCATCATGTTCAAGCTTGGCTCGAGCTTGAATCAAGCTTAACACCACTAAGCTCGAGCTCGACTCGTTAGGCTGAAGCAAAACTCAAGCTCGGCTCGTGTGGCTCGACTTTGTAATAAATAGTCACTTGAACCGCAGAAGCAAGAGGTGGTCTGCTAGCTTCCTTCACTTTATATAGAGCCCTTGTCTCTATTGAATGTATAAAAGAAGCGATGTGGGACACTTGAACAATCCCAAACATGGGACGCGTCATTTACAATTTTTTTTTTTTTTTTTTTTTTGGTGAAGTTCATTCGGTGGATGTCCCACATCGAATGATAAGGAAACTTGAAGTAATCTCACCCTTTAAAAATTGTTTTCCATACTATCACTTTCTGTTGGACAATGCTTTATTATTTGTTTATTATTTCTTGGTGACTTGGAGACTTTATTACTTGTTGATGACTTGGAGAGTGGGTTATCCTTAATATTTTTATTTATTTTTTTGTTTGTAACTAATATATAATATGATATAATAATATAATATAATATAATCGAGCCAAGCCGAGCCTAATTGAGTCGAGTTCATATTAGCTCGAGCTCGACTCGTTTAATAATCAAGCTTGGTAACAAGGCTCGAGCTCGACTTATTTGGTAATCGAACGAGCTTTAATGAGCTGTTAATGAGCCGAACTTCGACCTGTTCATGAACAGCTCGGTTCGTTTGCAGCCCTAGTTAGGGTTGGGTGGTGGAGTTTTGCTCTCTATCGATCTCTCTCAAAATTTGCACTAAGTATTGGTTTCTCAAAGAGGAATGTGGAGGGTCTTATTTATAGACAAGGATGCGAAACACCCTAGGTTGTGCTAGGGTTGCCCATCACATTCTTCTTGCACCTCCCCACAAAATTGCACCAGTAGTTTGTTCTAATTCAGATTCTAGGTTGCGACAAGATGTGCAGCTGCACAAGTTAGGTGCGAGTGCACAACTAATGTGTAGTCGCACAAGGTTGGTGCGTGCGCACATGGCACGTGTAGGCACACATGTTGTCTTGGGGTGTGTGCCATCTATGCTTGTACAAATGTAGGGTTCCATGCCTTTGGGCTTGCTTGTGACCTAAGTAAGCCTAGTTACCTCTCAATCGATGTTTTTAGTAAAATCGAGTAATTGATTTTAGAAAATATCATCGATTTAGATCTAACTGGACTCTTCTCTCTCACTCAGGACCAAAGAGTTAGGTTTTGGCTAAAAATGGTTTAAGGGTATTATGGTCATTTTTACAAAATAATGGTGTTTGGCTAAAACGGGGTGATACAGTAGCTCGTAACAACTTCAAATATTTCTAGAAATGGAGTAATTACCATTTAATCATCAGGAAGCTTTCAAACGCCCGAAGTCTTAGGATCAGTGAAAAATAGGGTGTCTACAGTTAAGATGACTATGTTGAAATTGTAATGATGTAGGATGTTGGAATTGGACAAAAGATGGAATGAGAGAAAGATTAGATGGCAAAGAATAGGAAATAGAAAATTCATATTTCCTTTCAAATTCCACAAATCTTGGTATAATAATTAATTTTAAGTAATTAATATGATGAGTTAACTAGGGGTGCTCGTGGATCGATTTTTGATGGTTCAGTTTGCTATTTGGATCTGCCTGCATGTCTGTGGCTTCGAAAAAATTAAACCCGCAACCGCCCACAGTGTGGATTGCGATTTGTGTGGATAGGATTCGCAGATGTGCCGGTGGTTGTGGACGATTTGTGGATTAGGCTCTTTGTTTAAAAATTTATTTTTGGACTTGTTTTTCTCGATTTTTTAAATATTATTTTTGAGCTTTTTTCTCTCATTTTTTAAATCATATTTTGGGTCATAAAATCACATATTTCTTATCATGAAATCATTATTTTTCAAATGATTTATCCCAAATAAATTATAGCCTATCTATCCAATTTACTTCCAAAAGGAAACAGACTATAAGCACAGGCCATGATTAGTCAATTGACTCACATTCACTTCATAGAAAAGGTATAAGCTAGACAAAACTTATAGTTTTTTTAATAAAATTGGAAAAAACATCTCTTCTGAAAAATTGATTTTAGAGTTTGCTGAACTCACTAACTAGTGAAAAATAAGAAGTATAGCCATGAATAAGTTCTTTACTCATTTTATTACAAGTTACCAGTATTTGTTGGTTTCCATACGTGCAATGCAAAACAAGTTGCAAAATATTTGTTTACTTGCAAGTAACTGAGAGAAGAGAAGATTAGAATTACACACTTACAAAAATTATAAGAAAATCTGATGGTCCATATTTTAAAAAAAAAAAGTATACAGAAGTAAGCGGGTGAGTGCGAGTGCGGGTAAAAACCGCAATTCGCCCACAATTTGCAAAAATCCTAACCTGCATCTGACCTTAACGATTATGCAAAACAACCCAAATAGGTGCGGGTAGTTCGGATTGGACGATTTTCGTGGGTCAAATAATCCAATGCCCAGCCGTAGAGTTAACCAATATTATTATTTTAAATAATTTTAAAAAATATAAAAAGTAACAATTAAAAAACCAAACCCTTATGCTTTATATATGTATAGATAGATAGATAGCTCTGAGTATGGTCTGGTCTGGAGAGTATTATTTTAAATAATTTTAAAAAATATAAAAAGTAACAATTAAAAAAAAAAACTTATGCTATATATATATGTATAGACAGATAGATAGCTGTAAGTATGGTTCGATTTGAATCGATTTTGGATAAAATTAGGATCAATCCATTGTTTACAGTTCCATAAAAATTGAAAAACCAAATCATTAAAATTATGAAATCAATCCAAATCAAACCATTTAAGCATGCTTTAGTTCAGTTTAGAATGTTGGTTTTACATAATCTATTCACAAGAAAAATCATATAACATTTTCAAAAATATTCAACCTAAATTTTAAAAATAATAATATGTATATCAAGCAAGCTACTCTCGTAATATTCATTAGTTAAGCAAAAACATAATATTATTCAACATTAATCTGCTATGATTTTTCGAAACACAAATTTTCAAAACATAAACATTCACATTGTTCCATTATTAACTTAAACAAACATAACATCTAGTAAATAAATATATATATAATTTAAGTTATACGATCTGATTCGGTTTAAATCCGAAAATCATGGACCTAAATTTGGAATCAATCTACGGAAATTGATTTTCCAAATTTTCAAATCAATACTAAATTATGAATTAAGAAACTAAACTAAACCTACCAAATTGATATGAACGGATTCGATTTACGGACCCAGCATGGATAGATAGATTGGGCCAGATTTGCATGCATATATTGGGTTAGTTCACCAGTTCATATCAATAGCTTCAAGCAATACCATTGGGCTTTCATCGTCCAGTATCAGCGTTCTCCCAGACTTCCTCTATCAATCCATTCCCGAGAACCCTCTCTCTCTCTCTCTCCCTCTCTCTCTATCTCTAAGTTGCAGAAATGGTAGCTTCAGCCATCTCAGCTCCGCTGAGTTTCTCAATCGCTTCTCGCAACAGAGCGTCGCTTCTCTCATTTGCTTCTCGTAGGTATTCAAATCTTTCTCTCTCTACTAAATGTCTATACATATATGTAAATTTGTGAATTTGTGGTTGGTTTGTTTTCTTTTCTTGAATTTTGGAGTTTGTGATATTTCAATTATTGTTTTTAATCTTCGAAAGCAATCTTCTGTGCAGAAACTCAACAAAATCGATAATCTGTGCCTTGCCCAGCCCTTACGGTGACTCCCCAACAATTGGTAATTATTATTATTGTTATTATTTTTTTCTCAATTTAATTTTCTCGAATATTTAGCTTTCCATTGAAATACAACTCTGAAAGTCAGATTCGAGTTTAGAACTCTTTTCGCAGTTACAATTTCGATTTCACGCAACCATGCCTTAATCTGAGTGAACTCTTCCTAATTCTGAAACCATTCACATTTTTTTTTCCTCTCCTTTTTGGGTCTGTGATTTTCTTGTGAGCTGTGCTTTTCTGCTAATGTACTTGGATTGTCACGTAAATCTTCGTAAATCTTCATATATTAAAAGATAGTTTTTTTTTTTTTGGAACTAAATCTTATGTCATTGCCAGGATTATCTAATGGAATACGTGGAGTTCCTCTAAAACTTGAGGAGCAGGCTACTAATTCAAGGTATACTGCTTCTATTCTTCTCATAGTGCATTATGCATTTTGTAATTATGATTCAAATATTCTTAATTGGTATGCTTAATAGTCTTTTGAAATCTATTTCCCTCTGTATGTAGTCTTGAAAACCCTAAGGAACTTATGAATTAATAATCATAAGCTTCTATGCTGGTTGGTTTGACCAAGTTTGTTTATATTTAAACTGAATTGTTATTCAAATCATTAAATTTGTTCATCGCTTGAATGTTCAGGCCAACTTTATAACATAGAGATGGATTAGTACAAGGCATGCACCCTCCATTTTGGGTGCTTTCTTCAATAAAGTCTTCTTTACTTATTTAAAAAAAAGAAAAAAGAAAAGAATTCCTAGTATTTAGTACAATTAGCATATCTCCTTCAAAACATTTCAGTACTCTTTCAACATTTCTTGGCAATAATCACTTACCAAAAGCAAGAGGTATTGAAATGGTTGTTGCTGTGACAGTTTTAGATTTTCAATGGTGGTGTAAGCTTAACCCACTTTAGGGATTGGATTAGATCATGTTGATTTAATTAACATTTAGAATTATTATACCTAGACATTTTCCCATGAAAATATAATCAACAGATTTTTCCTTGAGAGGCTTTAATCTTTATACCATGTTGCTTGTTTCTTGGTTTGATTGAGGAGAGTGTACATATTGCTTGGACTTTGGAAATTCAGTTTCCGACTTATACTTAAGCACAAGAATGAGGATTCTAAAGTTGGAGGCCCAAAAATAAATAAATAACACTTCCTCGCTGTCATAAAAAACTAGAAAGTAAGGGTGCTTGTCATAGATACTGTGTTCAAGTGCTGGTGCAGACACTTGATGTGGTTTGCTTCTTGACTAGTGTTTTAAAAAGCTCTAGGCACACTGACGCGATAAGATCTCCTATAGCCCAAGTGCAATGCGAGGTGCAAGTTGTAGAAGATAAGCAAAATTTTAATATAGGTGAAGTTTTCAACATAAACAAATATATATATAACATTCCAATCAGGATTGGGAGTTAGATCAGTTGGTGGAGTTGTTGGGTTTTTTATATGAGCTGCTGGTGGTGGAGGGTGGGCAAGATTCTTTGGCATGGGGGTGTCCTGGGCTAAAGGCACGTTTTTTGTATCTTCTTATTATGGTGTGCTTGCTTATGAGGAGGCGGTTGCGTTCCCTTGGAAGAGTGTGTGGGTTTCGGGTACGCTATCTAAGGTGGCCTTTTTTGTGTGGACGGCTATGTTGGGGTGTATCCTGACTATGGATAATTTAATTCGTCGTGGCCACATCTTGATTAATTGGTGTTGTTTGTGTTGTGGTGATGCGGAATCGGAGGATCATTTGCTAGTTCATTATTTGGTTACTTCTCGCCTTTGGATGTTAGTGGTTGAGACTTTTGGTTTGGTTTGGCTTGGGTGCAGCCGGATTCGGTTAAGGCAGTCATGCAAAGTTTGGTGGGGGGTCGAGTCGGGCGGAGGCGTGGAGGCTTGCGTCTCATTGTATTCTATGGTTGGTTTGGTTAGAGTGGAATAGGCGTGTTTTTCAAGAGGTGTCTCATTCTGTATCCTGGTTAGAAAGACGCCTACTTATGGTTTACATGGTTGGGTGACAAGTTTGGTTGATCCTGATGTTTTGGCTTTTGTAAATTTTGTGGAGGATTTGATTTGTTAGTCCGTAGGGCCTCTATTATTGTATTCTTTGCATCATCTTGATGCCTTTTAATAAAGTGTGGTTATTTATCAACAAAATATATATATATATATATATAGCATTCCAAAAATCATAAAGCAAGTTTCACCATTTAAAAAATAAAAAAAGTAAACATTCAATCATTGGCTACATAACGAAGAAGAAGATGAAAATGTGGTGGCTGATAGCGAGAAACCAATGATAGAATGGAGGGGAACAATGGTTGGAGTAGAGGAGGAGGCGGAAGAGGAGGAGGAGAAAAAGAATAGTGGCTGGACCAAAAAGAAAGAAAGAAAGAAAGAAATAAATAAAAAAAAAAGAAAACAAAAAAAGAAGAGAACTAGCGAAGAAGAAGAAAAGAGATAGAGAGAACACAACGAAGAAGAGAAGAGAACAAAATAGAATAGAAGGACTTGAAGAGGACGACGTCAATTGTTGATGAAGAAGACGATGTCGTTTTCTCTTCCATGTTTGTCGATCCTTTTTTTTAATTGCAATTTTTTTTTTTATAATCACTTTTTCGATCTCTTTTCACACGTTTGTTCATTTTATATTGAAGGTTTGTTATCCCCTGTGGGCAAAGTTTTAAAAAGCGGCCGCAACCGTTACGTAACGCCGTTACGTAACAGTTGTGGTGGTTACCGCCACCCGTTACGGCTGTTATAGCGGTGTGATGGAAATTCATATGTGTAACGGCCATGTAGCGGTACCGTAACAGCCTGTTAGACATCGTTACACCCTTTACAATATCCTGAATAGCTTCCTTTTTTAAAAATAAAAAAATAAAAAAAAAGCTTACAAAAAAAAAAACAAAACTTAAGTGATCCAAACCCAAAGAAAAAATCTTATATGAATTTTTTTTTTCTTAATAATTTTTTTTAAAAAATTTATGGCACAATTTTTATTTTATAATCCTTTCATTTAATAATTGTGAAAATTTTTTATTCAGTTAGTTCAGGTATTACTAAAAAATAATTTGTAGACATTTAAAATCAATTATTCTTAAAATCATTAGCTATTGAAATAAAATGTAAAAAGCTCATTTTATAGTGATTTGAAAATATGAAATATATTGGATCATATTTAAAAATTAACAAAAATTGATAAAAATTTATTTTAAATCCCAATAAATGTGATTCTGAAAAAAAAAATGCATACCGGTAAGTTTTCTTCAAATTGTGCGAGAAATCACGGTTCAGGTTACCGCAACCGTTACGCTACGGCCTTTATACCCCGCAATTGCTACGGCATCACCACAATTGTTACGGCGACCGCAACCGCTTTTCAAAATTTTGCCTGTGGGTATGCACACAAGATATCACTTAAATCAAGTGTTGGAGTAAAAAGCTACATAAAGCCCATAAGGCCCTTGCCTTGCGCCTCATCCTGAGGCTCGTGCCTCAGTGCCTTTTGTTCTGCACCTCGCCTTGACCTGTTTAAAGCACTTTCTTGTGCCTCGCGCTTTTTAAAACACTGTTCTTGACATTCAATTGCAATTCCAATTTTATAATAGGCTAATCCAATAATGTTACTTGTTAACTTTGTCCAGTTGTGTTGTTGCTGTAATTCATTGTTTGACACAAAATGACATCAAACTTCTAAAAATGGATAGTTGTTGTTGGGAATTATGTTGTGGTCTTGCATTGTCTTTGCTATTTTTTGGACCATTTGGTTGGAAAGAAATGATAGGATTTTTAATGAGAAGGAATTTGAGGAGTAAGCTATGTGGGATAGGGTGCAGCATCTGGCATCAATTTGGGCTTGTGTGTCTCCCCCTTTCAAGGACATACCCCTATGTTTTATCTCTAGGGATTGGCTATTGTTTGCCATACTTAGTGGTAGATTGCTGTTTTGTTTTAGTTTTCATTTCTTCGGTTTTTAGCTTTGATCTCTTGATGTTGTATGAGGACTTCTTGTCCTCCCCTTGTTTTCACCTTTTGTTTCAATAAATTCGTTGTGTTGTTGTTCCGAAAAAAAAAAAAAAAAAAATCATGTTGTGGTGAAAGCACAACTTTTTTTTTTTTGTAATCAGCAAAAACGAAACTTTATTGATGGAAATTAGAGTACAAGACAATAGATAAACATCAATAAAGAAGATGAGTGCAAAGGGCATCATAGCAAAACTGAATGATCCTAACTAGGTTAGCACTGCAAAGCAAGCCCAATCATTTGCTAGTACAATACCAAGTTGATGAGAAACCAACCAACAAAACAGACAACCAACCAAAACAAAACAAAAGCAGAAAGCAGAAACAAGCCCAAATAGTAGCAGCATCAGCCTCCAAAAAAACACAACCCCTATAGCAGCAGCAGCCTCCCCATTTCAGTCTCATCTCTGTTGAATGCACCAAGTAGTAGCCATTCACTTTAATTCAAACAAAAACAAGGATTTGATTGGTTGATATGTAGCAGAAAACACCACTTGAGGCACGTCTGTTTCCATTAACCTTTCACCAAAGCAAACTTCTTCAGTAAGCTCTCTGTTTCAATACATCATCTCACCAGCTTCCTTTCTCATAACTTCACCAAAGCTGCAATAGCACATCTGTCTGGAAGTCATCTCAGTCGTCACTCCCTTACCCGTTGTAGATTTGAAACCAAATTTTTTATGAGTAAGGCAGCCTTCTGAATTGTTTTTTTTACCCAGAAAGCAATCCTTGTTTTTATTAGTTCACACAGTTCTCCCATATCTGTCTGAGCACCTTTGAAAATACACTCATTTCTCTGTTTCCATATGGACCAAAGAATGGTAAGTGGGATAGCCCTCCAAATTTGTCTTTCAATTTCCTTCCTTTTATAGCTAGACCACCAAAGGAGCACTCCCTCCACTGATCCAGGCATTGCCCATTGGATTCCCCACCATTTCACTATTGCTGACCATAAGCACCAAATAGGTTGACATCTCAGCAATAAATGATTGACCTCTTCTGCCTCTGATTTACAGAAATCACATACTGAGTCCACATTTGCTCCAAACACTCCAATTTGCTGAAGATAATCAGAGGTTTTAACCCTTACTTTCCAAGCTAACCACCCTAGAAATTGTACTTTTGGGGGAGTGACATTTTTCCACACCAAATCTGGAACTTTTAGACTTGGACCCTGAACTGAATCACACCATTTGTAAGCTAAGGCTACATTAAAAACAGCTGAAGGGGTAGCCTTCCATTTTAATCTGTCAATAAACCCTTCTCTGATCTGAGGAGCTTGACTCAATAAACTCTGTAGCCTTCTCAGTTCCTCATCTTCCCAAGCAAACAGATTTCTTCTAAAAATCGAAGTCCACTCATTTGAAACTCCTCTTCTAGC